TGGTTACCCTTCCCATTGAATTTCTAGCGGACTTTACCATTATGGCAGAACTTTCGTCGCTCTAGATGGAGATAAAACATAATTTTGTCATTCTGGGTCTTAACCTGGAGAATGAATAAGAGGCATTTTCCAATCCCAATGTGTCATAAGCCATGATGTTTGAAAAAAAGTATGCTACACAAATATCAACAAAGTAGAAAGTCTCATTGGAATATCCTAACCTTCAGTTTGAAAAAATAAAATCACTTGAACCAACAAACGCCATTGAGTTGGGCTGGCCCATATCACGAGAGGGTGAGCGATTTCTGCGATTTGCACACTATTCTTGATCCTTTTGTAGCATATAAATTTTTTATTTTATGTTTTTATACTGAATTTACTTTTTTCCCTTTTTCATTTATTTTTCTCCTCTCTTGTTTTTTGTTGTATTACTTCTACCTTTAATGTTTATAAAAATTACCTTTAAATAATCATGGTTATTTCCTAAAAAATTTATGAACATATTTTAAATTTGATGAACACTTTTCAAAAAAATATAATTCAAGGATATTATTTTAAAAAAATTGCTAAGTTTTCCAAATTTTAACGTTATTTTCTAAATTCAAGAAGCATTTTCTGAAAATCATGGTTTTTTCAAAGTATATTTTAATAAATGATGTGAAGATCCTTTAGCCATGCGCAGTGTTGTAGCAAGCATTTTATCTTTGGAGAGGAAAAGCACCACTCTCTTTTTTGCGGGTAAAACAACACTTTATTCTCAATTAGCAACGCATCGGAGCTCTACTCTGGGCTGGCTTCGGCAAGTGTTCTTCGCTTAAAGGGAATTATGGGAGTTCACAGTCTCTTTCTCGCACATGAACGACTAGGCTGGCCTCGGCCCAAAACTTCCAGTCACTGACTTGACTCAGAGTGTGGTAGCGGAGAAAAAAGCGAGGCGGCATGGGTCTCGGCCGAGGAGTGAGGGGGAAAAGCGAAGTCAGCCGAGGGAGCATCAGGGTCTAGGCCAGTGCGTGTTTTAGCGGCATTTTGCAAATGGAGGTCTAATGTTGTACGCGGATGTGATGATTTTTATTTTAGCAAATGGGCCGACCTCATATTTCAGAAGAGAAAGTTAACCTGCTGGCTCCGGCCCATGTAATGACTAGGCTTGGTCTCAGCCCAAGCCCTTCAGTCACTCAGAGTGCTGTAGCGCAGCATGTTTGTCTCTAAAAGACTGAAACTTGAGCAATCAGGGAAGAAAAATGAACACCAAATGCTGAATTCTGCAGCTACTTGCTTCATCTTTGCTTCCCCGTTCCCTCCGTAATCTGTTGATGATCCAACGCTGCCTATAACTAACAATTGTCAGCTATAAAAACCATTAGTACTACTCCCTTCGTTCCAAATTCTGGAGGGAGTAGTAGTTTTCAACCAAAGTTTGCAAGCTAATTACTCCGCCAAGTCACCTCGCCGGCGGCATCTGCAGGCAGCCCGCGCCGCTCCTTCTTGTTTTCTTGTTGGCGCCATGATGATGATGAACCTGTAGCCCATGGCCATGGCGCCATGGCCCATGGCCCATTGCTTGGTTGGTTAGTTTAGCCCAAACAGGCTCCGCCTTTCCCACATCCCGATGCACGCCGTAAAGGGAGGGCAGGCACGCCAATCCATGCAACAATTATTACTCACTCCCTCCCACTACGACAATTCGCTCCACGGCTTTTAGGCCAACTCCACCGCACGACTTTAAACGGACGTTTGGATTGACCGGATTTTGTTCCTTTGAGGTGTTGATGGGTTCGTCCGTGTTCGTCTTTGTCAGATGGGTCGTGCGTGCACGCACCGCGCGGCCGCACCCCAAATCGTGTCCGGGATGGACGTGAATAAAAAAAAAATAGAATGAAATAACTAAAAAACTAAATAAAAACATTTTAAAAAAACATAAAACATATATAGGGAACAGCCACAAAACGGCCCAGTTTCCCCAGCCACTTAAAAGGCCCAGTTTTCATAATTAACATATAAAACAAAATAAAAAAACGCCTCCGCCTCCCGCGCGCTCCTGCCGCGCCCGTCGGTGCCGTGGCCGTCGCTGTCTTCACTGGCCGCCAGTGTCGTCGTCGTTGCTGACGAGGTCGACATAGGCCGGCGGCATCCACAGGTGGGCCGGAGGTGCGTGGTGGACGGGGTCGGGCTGGACGGCCGGAGGTGCCTGCACCACCTCCCCCCGTGGCGACGCCTCCCACTCCGGTGACCGCGGCGGAGTGGGGCACCAGTTCACGCCCACGCCGGCGGCCATCTCCGGAACAGTGCAGGACCAGCCCCACCCCTTGCCCAGCAGCTGCTGGAACGCGGCCGGCGGGTCCTCCCTCCTCTCCTCCTCCAGGGCCACCATCTGCAGCTCCAGGAAGGCGACGTCCCCGGCGGCAGAGAGGGCCATGGCCTCCTCCAGGGCGTCCCACTGCCGTTCGTCGTGCGTGTACATGGAGTCGTCCATGACACGCTTGAGGAGACGGGCCTCCTCCTCCGCTGACATGCGAGGAGGTGGAGGGGGCGACGGAGAAGGCGACGGCGTGGGCGTGACGCCGCGCACGCGCGTACGCGCGCGCACCTCTCGACGTGGCCGCCGCGGCCCTGACACCGTGCCGGCGAAGTATGACGCGCGGCGCGTGTCGTGTTCGTCCTGGAGCCACATGTCCCAGAGGTCGGAATCCGGGCCGTACCTGTCGTCGTAGAACAGGTCGTTCGGGAGGAGGCGGCGGCGGCGCTCGATCTCATCGCGGCGCGCGCGGCCGCTCGCCGGCACAGGAGGGATCGGGACCCGGTCGACGCTGAGGTGCCATCCGTTGGGGAGGTGGACGTCACTCCATGGGACCGGCGTCCTCGTCTCTCAGTACCTCCGGCACACGTCCGCCGCGAGGTACTGCCCGTCGCGCTCACCGGCGGGCCTAGGGTTGATGGTGAAGGGGGCCGGGACGGGGGCTCGACGGGAGGAGCGCGGCGGTGACGCGGGCTCCTTCTTCTTCACGGAGCCGCGGCGGCGCCCCGAGGAGGAGTCGGCCTCACGGTCGTGCTTGCCCTTGCCGTTCCAGAACCCCACGGAGGGGTGGGCGGCCGGCGAGCTCGAGGGCTTCGGCTAGGGTTTCTGCGCTGTCGAGTTTCGAGGAGGCCACGGGGTGGCGTGGGGCAGTGTGGACGACGACCCGTCCATGCTTCCCACTTAAAGAAGGACGGCGACCGTTCGACGTGCGAATGACAGGTGGGGCCGCCCGCTCGTGCACATTGATGTGGGCGGATGGGAGGTAGGTGGCCGCCTGCCACGCGGCCCCAACGCGGACGAGCACGCGTCCGTTTGGTGTCCGCCGCGACCCAAACCCGGCGCAAATTTGCGCTTGAAATGGGTCTGCCCGCACACAACACAGACAGGATAGGTTCAGGCCGTCGTGAGCTGGACCACCTCCTTTGTCCGTTTTACCCCAAACGAACAGGGTCGGACAGGATAGGATCGCGCGGTGGAGTTGTACCTATTATTACCACCTCCGTCCGTTGCTCACTGACATGTCCCCATGAACCGAAAACCCCCAACGACCACACCGTCCGTCCCCAGCCCCACGGACCAACGGACACGTCGGTCGTCCCCTTGCTGCCGCCTGCCCGTACGTGCTCCTCTGCCTCCCGTCGACCGATCACCACACCACACGAGCCTAGCAGTGCATGCAGTGCCACAGCGGTGCACTGGTGGTGCCCGCGCGCGCACTGGTGGTGGCCACTGACTGACACCCACTGCAGCGTGGCACCTTTACTGTGCGATAAAGCTGTTGAAAGCGGAGGAGCGCCGGAGGTGGAGAAAAAGGCGCGGCAGAGCGTGGCGCCAGAGACCAGACAGACAGGAAGAACCAGCCCCCCCTCGTCTCGCCGCTGTCCTCCTTGCCACTTCTGCTCCTCGCACCGCCCGCGGCGACCAGCCAAACCGCCATGCTTCGTCCCAGCGACAGCACCACCCCGGTGCTGCTGCTGCTGCTCACCGCCTTGCTTGCCTGCGGCGCCAATGCCGGCTCGCCGGAGGGCGACGCCGCCGCGCTCGCCGACTTCCGCCTCGCCGCGGACCGCTCCGGCGCGCTCGCGAGCTGGAACGCGTCCGCCAGCCCGTCCCCGTGCGGCTGGCGCGGGGTGACGTGCGCGGGCGGGCGCGTGACGCGGCTGGTGCTCGAGGGGCTCGGTCTGTCCGGCGCAGACGCGCTCCCGGCGCTGGCCCGGCTCGACGGCCTCCGCGTGCTGAGTCTCAAGGGGAACCAGCTCTCCGGCGCCGTCCCGGACCTCTCGCCGCTGCTCGGGCTCAAGCTGCTCTTCCTCTCCCGCAACGCGCTCTCCGGCGCCATCCCGCCCTCGCTCGGCAAGCTCTACCGGCTCTACCGGCTCGACCTCTCCTACAACAACCTGTCCGGCGTCGTGCCGCCCGAGCTGGCCCGGCTCGACCGGCTGCTCACGCTCAGGCTCGACTCCAACCGCCTCACCGGCGGGGTCGACGGCATTGCGCAGCCGAGGCTGCAGGATCTCAACGTGTCCAACAATCTCCTCTCGGGGAGGATTCCGGTGGCCATGGCGGGGTTTCCGGCGGGCGCGTTCGGCGGGAACGCCGGCCTGTGCGGCGCGCCGCTGCCGCCGTGCAAGCAGGAGGTGCAGAACGCGTCCCCGTGCCCTCCCGCTGCGGCCATGGCGGCGTCGTCGCCCTCGTCGAAGCCGCCGGATGGCAAGGGGAAGATGAGCCGCGGGGTCGTGGCAGCAATTGTGGCCGCGGACTTCGCCGTGGTCGGGCTCGTCGCCGGGCTGCTCTTCTGCTACTTCTGGCCGCGCCTCTCCGGGCGGCGGAGCGACAGGCGCCACCGCGAGGGGGAGAAGATCGTCTACTCCTCCAGCCCGTACGGCGCTGCAGGCGTGGTCGCGGCGGCCGGTGGCACGTACGAGCGAGGAAAGATGGTGTTTCTCGAGGACGCCGGCGTGAGGCGGTTCGAACTGGAGGAGCTGCTGCGCGCGTCCGCGGAGATGCTCGGCAAAGGCGGCTGCGGCACTGCGTACAAGGCGGTGCTCGACGACGGCAGCGTCGTGGCCGTGAAGCGGCTCCGCGACGCGGCGCCCGCGGCGGCGTCGACCAAGAAGGACTTCGAGCACCACATGGCCGTGCTCGGCCGCCTCCGCCACCCCAACGTTGTGCCGCTCAACGCCTACTACTACGCCCGCGACGAGAAGCTGCTCGTCTACGAGTTCATGCCCAACGGCAGCCTCTTCTCCCTCCTCCACGGCAAGTCCTCCGCTCCGCTCAATTCTTCGCCATTAACTCCGTCGAACACTTGCTGCTTCTGCTGCTGAGAAACTGAAGGTGGGAACCTCCGTCTGTCGTCGCAGGTAACCGAGGGCCGGGCCGGACGCCGCTGGACTGGGCGGCGCGCATGCGCATCGCGGCGGGCGCCGCGCGGGGCCTCGCCTACATCCACCACGCGAGCCGGCGCGGCGGGCTGACGCCCAAGCTGGCGCACGGCAACATCAAGAGCACCAACATCCTGCTCGACAGGTCGGGCGAGGCGCGCCTCGCGGACTGCGGGCTGGCGCAGCTGGGCACGTCGTCGCCGGCGGCGAGCTCGGCGGGGTACCGCGCGCCCGAGGCGCCGGCGCCGGCGTCGCGGCCGTGGGCGTCGCAGAAGGGCGACGTGTACGCGCTCGGGGTGGTGCTGCTGGAGCTGCTGACGGGGCGGTGCCCGGGCAGCGAGCTGCCCAACGGCGGCGTGGTGGCGGAGCTGCCGCGGTGGGTGCAGTCGGTGGTGCGGGAGGAGTGGACGTCGGAGGTGTTCGACCTGGAGCTGATGAAGGACAAGGGCATCGAGGAGGAGATGGTGGCGATGCTGCAGCTGGCCCTGAGCTGCGCGGCGAGCGCGCCCGACCAGCGGCCCAAGGTCGGGTACGTGGTGAGGATGATCGACGAGGTCCGCGCGTGCGGGGACCCGCAGGCGTCGTCGCCGTCGCACGGGTCGTCCATGGACGAGTCCTCCGGCGTCTCCGACTCGCCCGCCGTCTCTGATGGCGGCGGCGCCGCCAGCCAGTGATCGGAATTGCAGAGAGCTTTTTTAGGTACTTGGGGCTTGATTGAACTGTGATTTGTGCTTTGGTTAACTGCTTTTTTGTCTTCATCTGGAGGAGGATTGGTGTGGTCCGTTGGATCTGATTTGATGATGGTGTTGTACATGATGATGATGATTGATCTGATTAGAATAGCCGTACTGGGATGCTAGATTATTATTGTGTGAGTTGATTGATCATGGCGTTTGTCTTTTTCTTGCGTCGATGTGATCCTCTGCTACTGCAGCACTACACTGGCTTTCAAGTTGGTTTTCATCTCATAATAATTCAGCTCTTATCGCAAACACTCTACTTTTGCACTGGATGCCTATTTTTGCAATGCGACGGTTTGTTTTTTATCTGAAATAACACTGTACTTTTGCACTGGAGTATTTGTGAATTTGACCAACGGTCAACTGATTTCCATAAAAGAAAACTAATTTCCAGTTCATTGACACAATGTTACATTTTTTAGGTGAAATTTCTTTTCTTTTCACGGTGAACATTCAGTTGTACTAAATTTGTTCGGTTGAACATGAAGAGTTTTAGCATCTTGGTTGGGTCAGGTTGAACATGAAGAGTTTTAGCATCTTGGTTGGGTCTATGTGACGGCTGTGATCTATCCTGGGAATGTATCCGGTGCTCTCATCCTTGTGGTGCTACCGGTGCATCGGATGGCGTAGTATATTTTGAAATGTTTGAAAAATCTAGCACATTGACGCAACATCAATGTATACCGTCACAAAATTTCATACCAAAAGTCAAAACATTGCTCGAGATATGAGAATGACAAATTTGATATCAATGTGATTATGGGCCAAATCTAAAGCCAACTTATGTTGGAGTATTATTCAGCATCGAATTTGTCATTTTTGTTTCCCGGGCTATGTTTTGGATTTCAATTTGAAATTTCTTGACAACATTGATATTGTATGAATGTGCTAATTAATTTTCAGAATTTCCTAAACATGTAAAATGTGCTACAAAGAGTTCGGTGCACTAGGTGCACCAGATATTCCCCTATGTACCCTAGTAGGAATAATGCCTCACACGCTCGATCCCCATCTTGATTGTGCGTTTAGCATCGTTGGAGGGCATGTGGTGGTGTGTCTGGTCTTCAGTGAATCCGGTTGGATGCATTTTTCGTTTGTCTTTTATCGTGTGTCTGCAGATTTGATCCTTGGTGGTCTACGTTTTTTCTTCCTAAGTGACAGTTACTGTTGTAATGCACTGGTCTTATAAAGTCTCAGTACAGCGACGTCACGATTGTATACAACAATAAGGTGTGCCCCACTTCAGCAAGGGAGAGGAGATAACGGTGGCATGCATTCGACTCGCTTCAGTGTTTGTAATCATCGCTGGGTGATTCATGGACCTGGTTGAAAAGTTTATTACCATTGGTATCTAAATAGTTGATCTTCACTAACTTAATCATCTTGACATGCAACTATGCCATCTCATCATGCCACCAAGCATGCCCCACTAAATATAACTCTCTCGGCGCGCAAATAAGCAAACTCACTACGCCACTATGCTATGAGAAAAGACTCGCCTTAACATGCATCTTGCATGCTATACTTCTATGAAACAATTTCTTTCGGCAACCATGTAATAATAATCAAATATATTAAATCATATATGTGCTTGAGTTCCAATTCTTACATGGCTAATCAGAATACCAAAATTTCACCCGAAAAAACAATACTGTAATTTCACACCATCAAATCTCATAGGAAACCACTGCATCGAATTCCCGCTGCAACGCGCGCGTATCATCTCGAGCTCTTTATATTGCCACCTGGCAGATAATGAACAATAGATAATTGCAAAAAAAAAAAACAGTAGATGGAACGTGTCTCACCGTGACATTCTAGTCGCCTGGCATTCCCCCGCACCTTCCTTGGCTATGATAGAGAATTTTCTTTATCCGTGGAGCCACCAATCCTGGTTTCTTGGAGAACCTGTTGATTATTACTGCCCGGGCAGAGGATTTGCAATGGTTCGTTTTCTTTTTCCTTCCAAAGTTGCTGGTTAGCAGCAGTAGTGAGGATTGAAGGGCGTGGTGGTTTTGTTGGCGTGGTGACTGATCGAACAGGATGCGGTATGGCGCCATGAATGGCCCATTGCCAGCCGTGGAGCTAGGCGGCGCCGCGCCCGATGCAGATGTCCGATATCTCAGCGGCCCCGGCTGCTGCTCCTCAGGGGAGGGGAGGGGAGGGAGGGAGAGGGCGACTGCAGTTCAGTGCAGTCACACAGGAGACGTGGGGGCACCGCCGGCCGCGCAGGAGGAGGAGGATGGCCTTTTTCTGCTGGCATCGCTGGGCTCTGCTCGCAGTGCAGTGCTGTGCTGCGCAACGTGGTTGTGTAGTACCGGCTCGGCCGCGGTCGGTTCCTCCCGCTGGCCGCCCCACCCGGCGCGCACCTGGCCGAGTGGTAGCTTTCCTTGTCAGCAGCACGCAGCGTAGCTCCTCATGCACGTACGTAGTACGTAGAAAGCGCTTTCCGTCCTGTGCTGTGTGGCTTGGCTCGCGGTTTTGTCCTCTGCTATGTGGCTTGGCCCCGTGTGTCGTCCGTGTGCTGCTTGATCGTTGGATAACACATCATTAAGGGCATCTACTAGAGCATATGACAAATATAACCCCTTAAACAGACGCATCCGCAAACAGTGATCGGACACTTCTTAAATTAACACAACCGAAACCGGACAACTCATACTAGATTCTTAAATTCATACAAAAGCATACAAACTACGTAGATGATCTATTTACTCTGCGTCGGAGATGTCCACAATGTCCGTGCCCGGCTATAGGTACATGGGCGACAGCTGCAGCTCCGGCGCCTCCGGCTGCTCTGCTCCGGTCTCCTCCTCCTCTATCTTCGCATCTAGTTCGGCGAAGAGCGCGTCGGATGCCGCCTGTTCCTACCGGAGGAACTGTCAGTTGGCCTCCACATAGGTCTCATCCTGAATGGACTTCAGGATGGCCTGCCGCTCCTCCATCTCCGTGGCTTGGGCAATGGTGAACTCCGCCTCCGCCATGCTGAACCCCGGAGCAGGCTACTCTACCTCCTCCGGATCCCCCACCTCCATCGGCTCTGGTAGCTGCTCTCCCTCCTCCTCCGGCTCCGTCGAATCCGAAGGCACCCCGACAGCGATTCGGGCCTATTAGACAAGGGTTTTAGGGTTTGTGGCACACCTCCAAACGTGGGGTGACCTTTTCATTATATAGTGATGTACAACATAATTACAAGTGGGGCCCAGTATATACAGAGTCTAACACCCTTCCTCAATCTTAACCGTGCTCCGAAGAATTCACTAGGTTGAGATTGCGCCTACACCCTTCAAACTGAGGAAGAGGCAGTGGCTTCGTGAAGATGTCAGCAAGTTGATCTTTCGAGGAGATGAACTTGATAAGAAGCAGTTTCTGGGCAACACGTTCCCTGACAAAGTGGTAATCAACTTCAATGTGTTTGGTGCGAGCATGAAAAACTGGATTTGAAGACAAATACGTCGCCCCAATGTTATCACACCAAAGCACCGACGGCTGCTTCTGAGGAACCTTCAACTCTTTGAGCAAAAACTGTATCCAAATAAGCTCTGTTGTGGCATTTGCAACTGCTTTGTACTCAGCTTCAGTGCTACTGCGAGACACCGTTGCTTGTTTACGAGCACTCCAGGCGATCAAGTTCGAACCAAGGAAGACGGCATATCCCCCCGTTGATCGTCTGTCATCCGGACTCCCAGCCCAGTCTGCATCAGAGAACGCAGAGAGAACGCCAGAGGGGGCCGGTTGCAGATGCAAGCCATAAGAAGAAGTGGACCGGATGTAACGCAGAATGCGCTTAACTGCAGCCCAGTGAGAGTCTCGAGGAGCATGAAGAAACTGGCAGACCCGGTTGACCGCATAGGAGATATCAGGACGAGTGATAGTCAAGTACTGCAAGCCACCAACAATACTGCGATACTCAGTAGCCTCATCAGCAGGGAGGAGAGAACCATCGAGAGCAGATAGCCGGTCAGTGGAGGACATAGGTGTAGTACCTGGCTTGCACTGGAGCATACCAGACCTCCGAAGAATATCAAGAGAATACTTATACTGAGTGAGAGTCAAGCCAGAACCAGAGGACAATACTTCAAGGCCAAGAAAATAGTGAAGCTGCCCAAGATCCTTAACCGCAAAGTCAGCACTCAAAGCAGAAACCAAGCGATCCGCAGCATAGTCTGAGGAACTGACCACGATGATATCGTCAACATAGACCAGTAGGTACATAGTAACTGTAGGTCGCTGAAGAAGAAATAACGAGGTATCGGCCAGAGAGGGAAAAAATCCATGAGCCCGAAGAGTGGTGCCAAGACGCGCATGCCAAGCGCGCGGAGCCTGCTTCAGACCATAGAGTGCCTTAACAAGACGACAGAGATGCTGCGGACGAGCTGGATCAACAAAACCGGGAGGCTGACGCATGTAAACCTCCTCCTCAAGAACACCATGAAGGAAAGCATTCTGAACATCAAGCTGACAAAGAGACCATCCACGGGTAATTGCCAGTGAGAGCAGAAGCCGAATCGTGGTCGGTTTGACCACGGGACTGAAGGTGTCCTCATAATCAAGGCCAAGGCGTTGTCTGAATCCTCGAGCAACCAGTCGAACCTTGTATCTCTCGATAGAACCATCAGCATGTTTCTTTACCTTGAAGACCCATTTTGAGTCAATGATGTTGACACCAGCCTTCGGAGGAACCAGTCGCCACGTGTCATTCTTAAGAAGAGCGTGGTATTCTTGTTCCATCGCGGTACGCCAGTGAGGGATACTCAAGGCAGCCTGAAAATGCCGAGGCTCAGTAGTAGGGGCGGACTGCACCTGCGCCATGCAAGTCGCAAGCCAGGCCACCGTGCCATCCTTGCGTTCCTTAGGACAAAACACACCACTTTGGCTGCGTGTATGAGGACGCAACACCGGGGGCGGAGCAGGTGGCGAAACCGATGGTGAGG